CTATGGTTTTTTTTGTTAGAGTATTTGCCCCTTACAGCAAGAGGGATTAACCTGGTAGCAAGACAACAAGCAATCTATTCCAACTAGCAACAACATCGGGCAAAAACTTGTAGGAACAAAGCATGGTTAGAACTGCTTGCTCTTATGCCACAGTACATGTTTATCTTCAAGAACAGACCAAAATGAACCAAAAACTTACAGTGGGATCACCACTGAAGTCAAGTCCTACTACAACCCCATCACTGGAAAGCAGGAACTCTTCAGCAAGCTTAACAATCTCCTTAGCAACTGCTGGGCCATCTCTTCTGTTTATTGCTATTAACAACCTGGGATAGAAATGCATGTATTAAATTATATATAAGCTGTAATATCAGGAGCTCAACAGATCTGACACCAACAAAAATGGCACTTCACATCCTCCATGGCTGAGTATAAAAACTATTTGTATAGGAAACTACTCAAAGGAATGAAGGTACCAAAGTGCAGGGGGACACAAATAGGTAATAGGTTGGCCTGTGACAGGCAATAGCACACATGAATGATGAGAATTCTTCAGCTTCCACAAAAAAATCTGGTAAGGGTTGCTGCTGAGACTCTAAGAGACAGGTGAGCAGACCACCTCCAAGCAGCCACTGACACCTTCTGAAACTTATCTGCTGGTCAGGACCAGCTCTCCTTTACAGCAGGCTGCTTGTACAGCTAATCAAGCAAAATCTCTGCAGTGAATCTAGGCTATGAAAAAGGAACCTTTAATGCAAATTCCATGAAAAACACTGCTTTTCCTGAAAATGTTGCAGAGAATGGACAGGCATAAAGCTGAGAAGTTTTACATCCAATTTCCTTCTCTAGCAGTAAAAAAGATAAAAATTCAGGTTCTCATATGTATTACCTGTTTCCACTCCATGTAATCTAGTCTAAAACCAATTTTCTCTCCTACACTGATGGCTTTTAAACCTCTCTGCAAACATGACCGAGCATCAGAATACACAGAACCTTGGAAAAGAGGTACTCCACATGGTTTATTTACCTTACATCTATATCCAAGCCTTCCTCTTGACACTGCTTCATACCCTCAAGTACAGTTTCAACATACATCCTTCTGGTCATACCTACAAACACATACACACATTTGGAACAAACATATTTTAATTCATTTCATTATACTGCAGACTCAGCTCTCTAAGCCTCCTTGATTTTACTCCATAGACTTCTAATCCATATAATTCTAATTCTAGCTGCAAATATAGCTTTACTGTGAAGCATACATTTGAACTAAACCTCCTCCTAAGCACCTGAAAAACTGAAAACAACTTTGTGTGAACCACAGAGTCAAAACAGGACTTCTCTTATGTGTTTCTATTAAACTATATCTGAAAGAAAGCAAAAAATGAAGTAATAAAAATAAAATAGATCAGCTCTTAAAAATATTAGCAGACTCAGATGTCATAATCAAGCAAATAATAACCCAAACTCTTGGGTAGTAGAATTATAGCCAACACATTTTTGTCCTCAAAAATCTAATGGTAAAGTAACACGCTTTTACATGGTTAAATCTTTGGTTTCATATTTAAAATATGTATTTTTTATTGAGCCAACTAAATTTGACTTTACTTGTTATTAACATAGTCTTTAACTAAGTTTTATAGGGCATCAAGCTTACAAATTGAAAACCAGAACAGACTGTACCTGTGGACTTTACTTCTCTTGGAGTGCTCCTCAGTTCCAGATACTTGACACCATCATCAGCAAATTCTTTAATGACATCTTTAGTTATCTGATTAAGTAACAGTGTATTCAACATCACAAAAGTAATGCTTATAATTGTTTATATTTTCCTTTAGAACTAGAAGACTCACTTATTGTTTGTTGTGAAACACTTGCAACATTGTCAGCCCCTGATGAGTTTTTAGTACCCTCCATTTCTGGGAATACCACCCCACAGAGGGCACATTCCACTCCCTCAGGGACACCGAGGACAGTCAGGACGAATGAGAATTTCCTGGTCTGAGCAGGGATCCCCCTCAGTGCAGTGTGGGGCAGTCACAAGGCCCTGCCCAGCTCTGCATCTTTAACAGGCTCTCACAGGCCCTTCCCAGGGGGCAAGAAGAGGACACCACACCACTGCCTGCTCCCTGCCTGGATCACACAGCAGCTCTCCTTGACAGCTCTGTGACCTGAGGTGAACAAAGGGCAGTTCTAGTTCTGATGTTTTGGTACGTAATGAACCAAAGGAACAGGAATCTGCAGTAAATCAAAACTCTGGTAACGAGCAACAAACATGATGTTTTTAAGGCATTATCAGTCCAAGCACCTGAGTGGTTGTAATGATCACCATATTGAAAGTCCATTGCTTTAACAAAAATTAAGTGTAGGAGTTATATGAAATCCTGAGTTTCTAAATTAGTTTTACAATAATTATTCTGACCTCCAGTTGATGTTGCTACTGGGAACCCAATGCTCTTAATCCAGCTTTTTTTAAATGAACTTTTATTTAACTTACCAGTAAAATATCTTCAGTCCTAGTGGTAACCTGATAGATGATCTGAAACATCTGAAAACATCTAAAATAAAAAGTTAAATGAACAAACATTGAATGAGTATTCAGGAAAAAAAAAATCTACACTCTGAAAACACATGCTCAGTAGGGTCAATTAACCAGCCTGCAGCTTGAAATAAAAAGACCATCTGAACAGCACTTTCTGATTTTAGATGCTAACAAAGCATTTGCAACAAAAGTTGTTGTTATTACTATTATCATAAAGCTTTTTGAAGTGCAAAGGAAAACATGAAGTTTCCAAAAAAAGGAAACTCTGTGAGTCAATTTTCTCTGAAAAGCATATGCTGTAAGTAAAAAATTTCAATCCTTTAAAAATGGAATTAATTACATGAGATTTCCTTTTAGTCTGCAAGCACCTAAGAAGTTATTCTGTAGATACAAGTATGAAAAATATCTAACAATTACACTATGAAACTTGAAATTTATTTTCTGTAATCAGTGTATAAGGCCACACATTTCTCTGTTTTCAACTTAAAAAACCCCTCAGTAAATCACACACACGTGCGTACTCACTCCTCTAAGGTTCTTTTCTTTCCTTTGTCAATCACAGTCATTCCATTCTGGATCTGAAGGTTTGGCTTCTGGGCCATGAGCTTCTTCATGGTGGCAGAACTGATACAGCCGTTCAAATGAGCATGCAGTTCCTAGGGAAAAAAAATCCTGTGGACTGTGAAAAGGATGGCTTCTGCATCTTGTTTGTACTGCTCTTCTTGAACCCTTCACCAATATTTCACTCCGAGAGGGAAAATAAAATAACAGTTATCTCTGTGTTTGGCTAATAATAATTTCCTCACGTTTTATCAAGTTCAACTGAGACTGCCCTGTTTGTTTGCTCTCACTTGGTGGCTGCTGTTGGCACTGGTCTCCATGGAAGCACAGCTGGCTCAGGAAAGAGCTCTCCTGTCAGTTGTTGGAGTGGTGTGAGCCAAGGTGAGGAGGAAGCCAACAACAGCCTCAGTATTAAGTACACTAATGATTCAAGAACTCTCCCTATCTACTGCAAGTTAAATGTACATGTGCACCATTCAAAAACAGCAACAGGTGGTATGTTCACTCACCTTTCTCTCGTTCATACTTTGAAGTTTCAACTCACACCAGAAGTGCAGCAAGATGCTGCCATGAACAGCAACTGCACTCCTTTGCCTGAGGCTTCTTTCTGCCTGACTGTGGACAGCCTGACTTTGGGCTCCAAATCCATGATCCTCAGCTCCATTCTGCACTTCACCTTTGCTCCTTCTTACCTCCTCGCTCCTGACATACAGAACACTCCCTAGTGCCCTCCCAACCCATTCAAAAGGTATCTGCAAGGCATCTGCTTTGCTACCTACCCCTTCATCCCCCTGTACAGATTCCTCCTACTGGGAAAAGAAAAACTGGAGAAATATCTCTTCATGTCTTTCACTGGAAAACATGTTGAAATTGTAACTCCAGCTAAGCACCAGGAGCTGTGGTTCCTTACTGATTCAGGAAACCGAGCCAGATACACAGTGCTGCGACTACCTTACATTTTTCACAGACTTACAATTGAAACACCTCATAGAATTCTCCCAGACGTTAACAATACACCCTGAAAAACGACTTACTTAAAAGGAGCACGGGAATACGAGGATGGTGTGGTCTGAGGCGGGTTTGATCGTGCATCTGTGCAGGTTCTGCCCTGCAGGACGTGCCATCGGCTCTTGCAAGTGCGGCCCGGGAGCCGCGATAAATCCGCACGCACCCGCATGGAAGGCTTGCACAGATATGCCCTAAGTAAGGCACACCCTTGGGACATGGAAAAAATAGCGTTATCTGAGCCAGACTTTTTAGGCCAGACTGGAGGGAAGAGGACAAAAAGATAAAACGAAGATCGCGCACAACTGATTTAGGTGGGATTAGTCGCTGAGGTCTGTAAACAAGCTCGACAGGGCAAACACACTTTCCTGTGGGGTGAAGGGCCTCGGAAAACGCGCGTTGGGGAAAAACCCCCGAGCCAGCAGCAGCGAGGGTCTGTCTGTGTCTGTGTGTCCGTCCGCCCGCCTGCAGCGCGGGTGCTCTGCCAGCCCCGGCCCCGCCGCCCCCCTCCCGCCCGAGCCCGGTGCCGGTGTCAGGCCCGAGGCCGCCGCAGGGAGGGCCCGGGCCCGGCCGCCCCCCCGCCGCTCACCGCTTTGGGCAGCCGCCGGTAGAAGAGCAGCTCCCGCTCCCGGTCCCGGTCCCGCTCTGCCGCCATGGCCGCGCCTGTGCCGGCGGAGGGCGGGACATGCGGGGTCACGGCGGCACCGCCCTGGCACCGGGCCCGCCCCCGCCGGGACCCGCGGGACGGAGCTCCCCGGCAGGACCCCGCAGGACCCCGCAGGGCCGGGGCGCCCCGGCGGCCGGATCTCCCCGGGGCAGCGGCCGCTCCGCCCCCTCCCGCCAAACGCAGCGGGAGCCAGGTGAGATCACGACAAACACCGTCCGTATATTTAATGCCATAAAAGCTTCGAGTCGCAGTTTATTCAAGCGATACGATTTGCAGCCCGGCTGTGCCGCAGCAGCGGCAGCTCCAGCGCCGTGCACACACCGCCGGGTATTTACCGCTACTACACAGTCGGTTATTCTCCTGTAATGGCACTAGTCCGCTACATTATCATGTCCCGAAGTCCTAAGTGGATAAACTCGTGGATTACATTGCCAACCCCTTTTTAAAGCAATTTGTCAAGCTTGCTAGCACAAGATTAGGAATTGTAACTTTTCACTGATATGCAGGTCAAACCCAACCAAAACAAAGAACAATAAAAAAATCTGTTTAAATTATTTCATGTTTAGTTTTTAGTGTTTCTGCAATCTAATTCTAAACCCCCCACAATTTTAAGTCAGGTCCATAGGCAGATGTTAGCTCTTGCTATGTCCTAGAACAAGAGATGAATATAATTAACATCATAAAGCATGGTGATCTACATAATACCAGCATAACTCAGGCAAATAAAGAATCCTTCCACAAATACAAAAAAGAAAAATTACTGACATATTTAGGAAAGTTAGGTTTAAAGTTAAATTCAAGCATAGGAATATGAAGTTAAAAATTCAATATTCAAGTTAGTTTGCATCCCTTTTGGGGCCTGACAGTTCAATCATCCAAGTTCAATCACAGTGCAGAATTTGGATAGCCATTCAACTTTTTTTCATAGAAAAATAACATATCCATAGAAGAAATGAAATTAATTTCAACTTACTCAGTGATCCACTCTTTTATTTCACCTTAGTTAAAGGCAAACCAAGTACAGATACTGTACATTAAAATGTATGCACACAGAACAAATACTTGTTCTTCATTCTACCTTAAAGGCTCAAATTTCCACCTTCTTTTATTTAGAGCCCTTCCCAGGCAATGACTCCTCTCTGAAATACACTATACCCACATTTAAATATAAAGAGAACCATCTGCAGGTCCCACATAGCCAACACCTATGAGCAGCACATCGATTAGTGTCCATATTCCAAGTCCTCCAAAGCTGAAGAGTTTCCCCAGACCTTCCCGCCACTGGCCCAAATAGAAACGATCGGCACCAAATCCACCAAGGGTGATGCTAAAAGAAGAAAAATATGATTCATTATTATTATTTTTAGAGGAGCTCAGCTTAGGCATCCATACACACTGACGTACCTACAAGCCAACGACTGTTTTGCTCTACACCATTCAAGAAACTACACATATTTCGTAGAAAAAGAACAGTTATTTAATAAGAAAAGCTCTGGGTGAAATACTATTATTTCTTAGCTAATTAAGACTATCCAGAGACTTCAGGTTTTCGTTCATGACGAGCAAGAAACCCAAAACTCTCAAATTGATGTGTCTCAACTCTTCTAAACTAGCAAAAGGTAAAAACCTGCAACAAAGAAGCAACAGAAAATTCCCAAATGCTGCACTCAGAACCACACAGGAGTCAGGCAACAGTAAGTTTCTCCAGCTGATGGCAGCAAGAACAACTCTTGCTCTAAAGGGAAGTATGTCAGATCACTTCCTTAATCACAGAAGTACTGTATCTTTGGCTCCAGGAACAGTGTCCCTACCTAATTTATCATATTAACCACTTCTGAAATATTAACATTTAGTGAAAAAGGTCTCACCACCAAAAGAACTTCAGTTACTTTCAAACTGCTATCGTGGTGCTCTAATGACTTATTCCAAAAATAACCTTTACTGTTTGTTTCAATATTGCTTCCCTGGTCTCTTCCCTAATAACTGGAAATGCAAGGAATTTGGTCTTGAGGCATTTCCAGCTGTAAGAGCTGGGAAGGAACCCGTAACAAATGTATACAAACTGCAGCCAGCTCAGTGACACCTATCAAATTCAGAAACAGCTCCATTCATTTCAAATGCCAAGTAGTAATGTGAGCAATTCCCAGCCCTAATTGTTTAAAAACATAGAGAAAAATGTAAGAAAAAAATAAAAATCTGCAGATATCACCACACAAATAAAAGCCAACATGTCCTCTCTACTCAGAAAATGGATCACTCTGTGAAGCCTAAGAATCATTGGCATTTACTCTGAAGGAAGTACATTTAAAGCAGAAATGGGGTAACTGTTTTCTCTCCGGCTCTGTTTGCTGAAGGGAGCCAGGACTGTTGCATCTGAAACCTTCAGGCACAATATGCCCCCACATTCCAAGCTATTCCAAGACTATCTGAAATACTGGTTATTCAGTGCACTGTTAAAAAATACCACGCAAAAAGCCACATAAATTGAAGATTTTATAGACAACTAATCTATTTTAGCTTGTCATTATCTAATAGTTCTTGTGTACCTTAGTGCCAAGGCAGTAGACCACTTATAACCTCCAGTCCAATTGCAATAGAGCATCTTAGGAAAGACACGGTTACCTAAACATTAGAAAACATAAAAACCTTAATGTAATAAATAAAGACCATATAATGAGTAAGAAAATGACAAGCAAGAAGACACTGCATTTATCCATCAGGGGTCTAAAAGGGTTGACACTAACTGAAAAAACAACTGTCAACACAATATATACCCTACAGTTCCCAGTTCCATCAGTCTTTGTCCCTTCATCAGAAAAGCCACTGAACAAATAGGGAAAAAAATTAAACTAGTTGGGTGGAACCAGCATAAATTCTTTTAATTACCCTATTGAGACATTTGATATCAATTCTATTAGTGGTGTCCAAATAAGTTAAACTCGTACAAGGTGACAAAAGTAAAAAGAGCTACTTTGTCTTGTGTACAGTATACAACAGCATAATGAGACAATGTTTGCAGTTACATGTCACTATTATGCTCAAAAATGAAAATGTAACAATAAAAAAAATTCAACAGATTAATCAGGGTGCAGACTGTTACTGCAATGGACATAAACATTGTATTCATCCATTACAAAAACCATCAAAAAATACTCTAGAAAAAAGCTGCTTTGCAGAACCTGGCTTAGCCCACCTTACCCAGGCAATGAATGTGATCCCGGACTGTACAAGTGGCATTGTATCGCTGGCGTGGGCAGGAAACTGTCATGCAGTTGGTGGAGTTGGTGCAGACATAGTCACTTGTGGCAAGCTGCCAGCAAAACTGGCACGTCATGTTAATCGTGAAGTTCTCCTGCTCGTGGTTATTCTCATCCTGTGAAAGGACAGCATTATCACTTCCATAGTATTGAAAACAAAATCAGTGTGCAGTATCAAAGTACATTTTGGGCAAAACTGCTCTGTTTGCTACTTCTTATGTAGTCAAGTATATCGGAAAAATCAACATCAGAAAACCAACAAAGAGTTATTAAAGTCAAGTTTAACATTCCTGATTCCTCCAATCTAAGGCTACTGCCAAAAGGAGGACTCATTCAGTCTCACCTGTAAGGTCAGTTTGTAGCTCTGACAGATATTTAGTCTCCCCACTCTCAAAATGGTTGGACTGGTTCAACTCAATGGCATGGCCAAGTAATGAAAAGATCCAACACAAGAAAGGCAAACCAGGGAAGGGCAGACTTGCCTCTTCAGCAACAGCCTACAGTGGTGATCAAACATATCACAGAACTGCAAACCTGCCTGCATCAGAACCTGGAAATCAGTGTTCTGGATTTTAAAACAAGATGCCACAGATAATTACTTAAATTTAGGGTTAAAAGTTAACAGGTTACTTACAACACAATGAACATGTGGCTTGACCTTGCAATCAAAAGTGGCCAGCTTCCCATATATACAGGAGTAGTTTGTGTTGCATGTCATGCAGTCTGGTGGCAATCTACTGCAAAGCCCGTTGCTGGGACATTTAATCATGTAAGGTGGAATTTCTGTGCTTTCTGAAAGGGGCAATAAGTGAATTAAGAAACTGAATTAAAAAAGCGAAATAGTCTAAAGTATATATAGCATTGTTTTAATACATATATATACATATATAAACACAGGCACTGATGTGGTATAAAGGGCTTTTCCCACTACACACTGAGCAGCATTCCCAGCCAGGGGAGCCACACAGTGCAAGCAGGGCACCCACCAAGGACTCTCACACAGAAGCTCCACAGAGGACACCACGGCAACACTTCAGCAGAGAACCAGAACAGAGCTTACGTGGATTAGTGCCGCCTCAGCCTGCGCTTCTCACAAGTAATCACTTCAGCACAGCAGCAGGGTGACACGGGTAACCTACTTTTAGTTCAGCTCTAATTAAGGTTACAGCTCACTCAGCCATTTGCTGTTTGCATGTGCACAGAATCACCTCTGAGACTGACTGAAATGCTGTTCTTGCTGGCAGTTCTGACGCACCCCCAGGGAGCTACAGAGCTGAGCTGATGGTGGATAGGGAACAGGAACAAGTTCTTGCAGAATGCTGGAGTCTTTCAAGAACTTCCACCATCCTGACAGGGTATAAATCACATCAACCACAATGGCAGTTTAACCAGCCATTTTCTAGTTCTTATATGGGCCGCTTGTCTAATTAGAAACTAATTGTTGTGGCCATTGAAGAGTAATTCATAATGTGTTATATACAATGCTTCTTACCGCTATGAAAAGCACATACAGGTTTCTAAGACTCAAGACACTGAGGAGAAGGGCTCACAGACAACAAAGAGAAGAGACAATATAATACCATACCTGCTGCTTTAAAATAGGGAGTATTTGTACTTGTTGAAGTTAGGCTTTTTGCCAGTGTAGACTGTGGCTGTGAAAGCTTTGTTGTCATCAAAGATCCCGCTAGAAGAAAAAAACATGGAGAAAGTGATATTTCTAGAATAAAATTAACCTTCAGAAACAGTTTGATTTCAGCACATTGATATGAAAATACAAGTGGAAAGTGTAAGGAGATTAGAAAACTCTGCTTTCCTGTTCTCTTAATAGTAGGATGCTTATGTTAAACATTAAAATGAGCATTAGAACAGAACCGTTCCTTTTAGACAAGGAACTACACTTATTTTCATTCGGTCTTATTTTTTGATCCACGAGAAGTAAAAGCACTGCTCAGAAAGCAGATTTTAGTTTAGTGAAGCCATGCAGGTAATTCTTTGGCAGCTGGAGCAGACGAACCGACCGGCAACCCCGGCGGTACCTGTGCATTGACTGCGCTCTGGTCTGTGAGACCCCCGCGGCTGCGAGGGCTCGGGGCCGTGCAGAGCTGCAATGGGCCACCACGAGCCCTCACAAGGGAAGGAAGGATGAACAGGTTTGTCACACCCACCCACCCACCCTGACGGTGCTGGGGAGCCCCAGGACCTCGCCAGCTACGTTTTGGGTCAGACACGTTCCCGACAAGGCGCAGCACAAAAGGTGCTGTGTAATAGAGCAGCGGACGAGCCGGCGAGCGGGGCCTGGCCCGTGTTCTGCCCTAACACCGAGCACCTCAGCCCCAGCCCCGCAGCGCCGGCACAACGAAACGCGTCCACGCCCGAAGCACCCCGTTCCTTTCCCCAGCCAGGGAAGCGGCAGCGCATCCTCCCTGCACCACGCTCACCTCCGCAGCGGGACCCGCCGGGCGGGCTCAGCCCTGGCCGCGGCCGCTCGGGACAGCAGCCCCCACGCCCGAGGCAGCTCCCCTGCCCCCTTCTCGCCCCCCACCCGCCCTGCTCACCGCGGCCGGAGAGGACGGAGAGCTGGGACAGGAACAGCGCGGCCCCGCAGAGACCCCGCAGGGCGCGCAGCACCCACAGCGCCGCCATCTTGGCTCCGCCTGCCGGGCCCGCGGGGGCGGGGCCCTCACACCCCGCGTGAGGCGGCACCGCCCGCCCGCGGTGACTGCGGGCGCGGCCTCTGCCCCTCAGGCCACCGGGCACTGCTTTCGGCCCTCTGCCCTTCTCTCTGCATATTTCTCCCTGTAGGAAACTTGACATTATTTTTACTGATTTCTATTTGATCTCATCAATACATATAAGTACCTCAAAGGCGGGTGCCAAGAGGAAGGTGCCAGACTCTTTTGGGTGACAGGACAAGGAGCAAGGGCCGTAAACTAAAACACAAGAAGTTCTCCCTCAACATGACGAAGAACTTCTTTATGTTCAGGGTGGCAGAGCACTGGAACAGCTGCCCAGGGAGGGCTTGGAGGTTCCCCCTCTGGAGACATTCCAAACCCACCTGGACATTCCTGTGTCACCTGCTCCAGGTGACCCTGCCTTGGCAGGGCGGTTGGACTGGGTGATCTCCAGACGTCCCCTCCAACCCAAAGTATTCTGTGATTCTGTGTAGTTCCTGACCTCTCTCCTTGCTGCATGTCACATGAAAACTGAAATGCCAAGAGCATCGATACATGTGTGCTAAAAAAGTCTGATACTTGCAAAAGCTAGAACTTCACTGTAAGAAAAACGAACCCAGTAGTTGAATTCTGCAGTCTGAATATATCACACGTGCATCACATAAGCTCTAGGCCAAACGATTTTATACATGAAATATAGAAATATAAATAAAAATCACGCTCTGCACACCGTTAATTCTGTTAAGTGGAACACAAAGCTTTCCTACCACTCATTCCTTCTGGTTTTTTTCCTTTTCTTCTAAAAGCAGGAGATAAAAAGAGATGCACAAACCCAAACAAATACCAAACTAAACAAAGGCCTATTAAACACGAGTCTGTACAAGTGTCAGGTAGAAGTAAAACACAAGCTTTGCATCTCTGTAACATTTATGCACTAAATAGTATTTTCTGCTTTATGGCTGTGGCATTTAAATCACAACTATTTAAATCACAGCTGTATAGCTTAGATAACTGAGCAATACATTTAACACTATCTAAGCTATTCAACTAGAAAACAGCATATGAAAGTGAAAAGAAATCATGGTAAAAATCTCAGAAAAAATCCAGTTCTATTGCCTGCAATGGCAACTTTAAAAATCATTTACAAGCATAAACAAAACAGAAATATGGCAAATTTAAATTCCAACATGCTGTTTTAATATTAGAATTGTCCTCTGCTCCTTCTCAGTGCTCTCAGTATCCCCAGCAAATGCAACAATAAATTACACATAGAAAGGTTTTTCAAAGTTTTTTTGTTTTAGGAAAAAGCCAAATCAACAGCAAACACAGGAAAAAATAAAACACTTGACACACAGATATGGGGAGTAATTCAGCTGCATTCTTGGTAACCACCTTTGCAGCAACCAGTTATCACACCAACTCCATCAGTGCCTTGTTTCACTGAGACTTCCAAAGACATCAAAGTATTTGTAGTCTGTGAACAGATTCTGAAACAACCAAGCTATTCCCCCCACAAAAGTTTTTTGTAACAATCTGGAGCTAGAAAAAACCTAAACCAAACTGCTCCTCAGGCACCAACCGACCGCCAAGCTCTGCATTCTGTAACACAGGTATGCACCTGCCCTGTGAGTGAGGGAGCTCAGCATTCCCACAGCAGCCACTGCCCTTCCCAGCCTCCTGTTCCTGGGGGTCATGCAGCCCTGATTTACTTCCACAGCAAACCCAACATATCTTATTAGAGGCGTAGGACTTTTTGAGCAAGCATTCTCTGACTCAGGCAGATTGGAAACTCATGTGATTGCTAAAGGAGTTGGCAGGTGCATCTGTCCTCTCATGCTTTTCCTGGAGCACCAACATTGCTACACTGGCTTATTTTGTGTATCCGTTAACTGAAAATTCTCTCAGATGAGCATCACTGCTGTGCACAAGAAACATTTCCCACGGGCAGCTAATATTCTTTTTTTTCCCCAACAGCAACGTCAGAATTCTTCTTCTGCATTTGGAATATGTGAACTCTTAAGTTTCTTGAGTTTTTCAATAGCAGAAGATACTGAAATCTCTCCATGAACTTTGTTGTCTCTTGTTCGCACGTTGACAGCATTATTTGCTTTCTCCTTTTCTCCAACCACTGCAAGACATAACACATAATATGAAACTATTTACATTACAAAATGAGTCTCTAGACAAACTCTATGTCTAACATTAAAACTTAAGTGATATTCAGCAATGTAAGATGCTGCAATTACCTACCTAAAATGAAGTTATACTGAGCCAGCTGTGCATTTCTAATTTTCTTGTTTAATGTGCAACTTTGATCTAGATCCACATCTGACATAAATCCCGCTTCAAAAAATTGGTTGCAAACCTAAAAAAACCAAACCAAAACACTCTCAGAATTACTATATATTTTAAAATATACATTTGTACATCCTATAATTACTGATCTCTCCCAATAATTAATTCATGTATGTGCATAATATCGCTCTTATGAATCACTGCAAAGAATCCAATGACTTTATCTGAAGAAAACTGAACACACACTTAAGGGCTTAGCAGGACTGCAGTTGGAAGGTAACATCCATATCAAATATGTGCTGCTGTCCTCAGGCAGCTACACTGCTCAGTGTTAAAAATGTGTCCTTAGTCTGAGAAAGCAGAGAAAGCAGAAGGAACAAACCCACTTATTCTTGTATTAGAAGCAGGGGAGAGGGGTAAAACCCACCATGGTCAAAAGTGATGTAGTCAAGAATATACACGGTGGGAAATGGATGAAACTGGCTCTCTCCCCACTTTAAGCTGATAGTAGTGAAATGAAGCATTAGTTGTCATCCAGAATGTTTTTCCTTTAATAATTATGTCCATAATAACAGAACTCAAACCACTTAAAGTTACATACCCCTTACTCAGGCTTACACAAGTTTTAGACTGGAAACTGTATATTGAAAAATTTACTTCTCCCCCCCCCCCAAATACGCCTTCAAAATCCTTAAAGCATTCATTCTCCGTTCTGGAACAAGTCCTTGAGGATCCATTAGAATTGCCCTGCTCTCACCTGCTGGGCATACTCTTCCGATGTCGGTCCCACGGGCACCACCATCACCTGCCGTGGGGACAACCAGAGCGGCCTGGAGAGCATGAGGGACACATGGGATAAATGTGCACTTGACACTTGCATTCATAACCACAGCTGTGTTCCACAATAATAATTTCTTCACTTTATAGAAATCTTTATGTTAGCTTACGTTGGATAGTACGTTATCGTCGTGTTTTCAAAGTTCACGTGAAATAGCAAATGGGTTGATCCCAGTAAAATGACAAATGCAGAACTTGGACTTTCTGTTCTCTTCCTAGCAGACTGCACATTTTTAAACAGAATTTTTTTTTCACATAATTTTCATTTCTAACTTTACAGTCAAAAGTGAACAGTCAGAGAGATAAGTGACTGAAACTAAGAATTAACTCTTCCTTAATACTTTAAAAACACATTAATGAAAAAATACCTTCAGAGCTTATTCAAGATAAACCAACCCATCTCAGAAGCACAAAAAATATTTCATATATTAAGACTAATTCATGTCTGTATATATACAAATAATTGCTTTACATATGTCTGACATCTTCCCAGTACAAAAGCATGATTTTTAAGAAAAAAAGGAACAAAAATAATGGAGGGCTTACACATTAATTACAGTTCTTATTTCTGCATTATTCTGCATTTTTTCTGCAGTCTCATGAAACTGATTCTAATAACTAGTTTGTTATTAGAAATTAACTATTAGAAATAATAACTGCCAACAAACTCAGACCAGAAAACTGGACTTCTTTTCTTGTAATCTTACCTACTAATTTGGAGAAAATTCTAGGGATATTATTTTTGCATTATAATATATGGGACATCAGGAAGGATCTGCACTTTCTACATTGTTAAACACTTCTTAGAAGTCCATTTGTGCTACATACCATTTTCCTCCATAATTTTCTGCTAGAATAGCTATCATCCTCTCCACAGATCCCAAAATAGCTCTGTGAATAATCACTGGCCTTTTCTTATCGTCGCCATCCTTACTGAAAAAAAAAAAAGCAAGTAAAATTTTTTTAAAAACTGAAATTGTCTTAGCTCACACACATGTAATCCTACTAGTGTTTTTGATTCTACTTTTAACAGATGGACAAAATTCAGTTAGTTATACTCAGGCAAAATCTACTCTTTTTATTAATAATGTCCTTTAAGTCATCTAGGCTTTTAAAGGAATACTGAATAATCACAGTGACTTAAAATAATCATGCCTATGGCCAGTGGCATAGACACTAACTCTTAAATTTGAAAAGACACTCGACTGACTCAGCACCATTTCTGTGCATTTTAATATTTTATGTTCTTCCTTGTTCTCTCTCTTCCACTATGACTTGCTTTTATTTTGTTGCACAGGACCTTACCTGCCCTTTTGAACCTCACCTGTTCATTACTTTGCTTAAATTACAATACTGTGATAAAAAAAAGCCAGCTGTTTGCAACAGTACCATCACCTACTAAAAAGCTATGGCACCTACTGTAGAACATGCAGCAGGACCAAAAAGTAACAAAGATTCTTATTCTGTCTTCCTGTAGTGGTTTGAACCTTGTTTTCCCCAGAGGCTAAGAGAAGTGGTAGACCCCAAGGGGTGGAAACCCCTGGAAGTTTTGAAGTTCTGCCCAATGGGCGCTCCTGCAGAAATGTAAACATATCACAACCAGACCGGAAAAGAAGAGTTGTAGTTTGGTTGTAGGAGAGGTGGCCATGTTGTAGAGCCACGAGGAAGGGGCTCTGAGCCCCTTGGGGCCTCTGGCCCCCTCCCAGCCCCTGGCTGGGGGCTGCAGGGACCTGGAACAGCATAAAGCTGGGCTAGGTGCCTGTAGTATGCCGGGAGATGTTTTCTCCATGGGCACAGAGCAGCAGCCGACGCTGACCAGAGAAACAGTGGCAGAGAGCCAGAGATAAGAACCTGAACTGAAGAAGCAGCA